TATCAAGTGGCATTTGAGTTCTTCGAAAAATTTCGAAGAGTGTTTCAATCTTGAAATTGAAGCACACGACATCTATCGTCTATACATATAATTAGATATACCTATTCTATGTTAGGCTCATGTTTATTGTAAACACTCGAGTCTCTTTTCATTTATATATTTTGAAAGATCCACAAATACTATCCATTATTTTATCACTTATTTTATTCGTTTATAATTTAAAATCGTTTGTAAACACGTCGCAGATCTACGTTTGAACATAAATGTTATTTATGTGCAATTTTATGTTAGCAGTATTAAGAAGGTGTATTCAATGATGTAACTACAATAAAACTGTAGATTTTAGCGTTTGAGTGAAACAAAACCCATATTTTCGCGAATATTTTGATAATGGACTTTTGTTGTCACCTGTTTTGGATAAAAATCATATTTTTTAGTAGATTTTGATGAAATATATGGTTGAAAATTTGTTAACAGTTGTCAATTCGATAAAATGTATTATTGAAAATAAATTTGAAGAAAAACGAGTTTTGATAAATTCTGGCCTAATAGGGGCAAATTTGTAATTTTTTTTTAGATATAATGTGATTATAAAGTAATTTACATGTCAAAAATATTTTATTTGAAAAAAATGTGTTTAAAAAATAAACTTGAGGAAAGATGAGTTTTGATAAATAAGGTTCAATCATTAAGTGACAAATATGAAACTTTACATAAAATTTAGTGACTTTTTTTATATAAGATCAGTGGGCCAATCCATGCCAATATCAATGGTAATGGGTCTTGGCCCAACCTGGGCAGGTTTGCTGGCCGTGCCATCTTGGCTATGGGTGGTTGGTTCAAACTTGTCGACACTCTCTAAGACCTTTATATACAATTACAAATAGAGGGCTCTTCAAATTTTGTTAGAAGATATTGTCTTGATCAATTTTGACTGCCAAACGAGTTTTAGTATAATGGCGTATTTGATTGGCCATTTTTCACCAGAATTTCAATTTTCAGAGTGTTTGATTGTCATTTTTTTTCATGAAAATTATTTTTCAACATTTGAAAATATACATAGTTTTCTTTACTTTTGAGGATAATAATTCTTTGAGGAAATGTAGGTTTTTGTTTTTCTTAAAATAAAAAAAAAAATTTATATTCTACATAACATTTTTCATGTCATTCAAACATACCTTAAGAGTAAATTATTGTAGTATATTTAGTTACTTGAAACTAAGCGTATATTTGCCCCTCATTTTTTTAAACTTATTTTTAAGTACACATTCTCCCATAAAATAATTTTATATGCAAGCCTAAATTTTTCATATTTTTCAACCAAACATTATCAAACAAAATATTATTCCAAAATACATTTTGACAAAAAAAAAAAAAAAAG